CATTTGACTCTATCGCGCTTCTTCACAGCAGGCTTTCAGGATTACTAAGATCTTAGTGAAATGGCGAATAACGGTTTAAGCCACAGTGTTGGACGAGATTCGATTTTGTGCTCATGTTTTTCAGCACGATGTACAGATTCGAGTCCTGCCCAAGACTAACCGCTCTGCCCAGAATCCACCATTCTTATAGATTGGCGATTTTTTGGTGAAGCAAAAAAATGCGAGAAACAACTGACTGACCTAACGGCGTTTTTCGACGATGTGCTGGAATTTTTATTTCATGATATACTGCACCACATAGCTTATGTATTACAGGTGTCGGAACTAAAAAAACTGTTCTACATATATGTGAGAAGATTCGGGTTTGGATTTGATCCTCAGGCAGACTGCGCGATAATGGCGCCGTCTTCCACTGCTCCATACATTGCACTAATAGTTTATTATCAATGATAAGGGCTGATGAATGATATCTTGCTGTCAACCTTCCAAAAAGAATGCATGTACATATGCACAGGATATTGATAAAAATTAGAATAGCAAGTAAAATACAAGAGCGAGTAAAGAATAATCAAAGGCAGTCACGTAGGCTATAAGTTCTTGGGAAATAAAATTTCAAAAATAAAAAAAAGCAGCTCACCCAGGATTTTAGAATCAACCCTCTTCAAATTCAGAACAATGTCTTGTCCTGAAAAGTTTGCATTGCACAAATATCAAAAACTAAATTTTTCTGCCTAGAACTAGGCGTTAGAATGTAAGATTTGGCACGTCAATGTGATAAGTTCGCTGAATTTCAGGACAATCTCGAGCAGAAAATCCCGGAAACCACTTATTCCGATTCTCAGAAGTAAGATGTCAGAGAGGACAAAAATGGATGTGTATATGGATGAAATCTCGCTGTAAGCATGTGGGAATCAATGCATTTCAGCAGGTTGGTCTTTTCAACAGCGATCGTACTGAACTTTGCCGAGATAAGCTCCCAAGCATGCTGCACTTCCCCTATACCCTTTTTATGAAATAGAGACGGAGATTCAGAATGGGAAAACTTGCCCTGACCCTCTCTGACTCTTCTTTTCAGTTACTTTGCTTCAGAATTGAGAATCGCAGTCAATATGATCAATGGACCTACTCCCGACAATTGAAAATTCACCTTTTCTTCTATGCCTTACCCCTTGAATTTTCGAAAATTTTCTAGTTTATTGAACGCAAGAACAAATCTTGCTCAAAGGCGTTAGTTTTCGCCTGCTGTGGCGTGTGGCTCAAGCTCCAATCTGAGTTGTACCAGGGTATTAGATATTGAAGCCATTAGGGCTGAAATAGCGCCCCACGTACCACCGTACTCATAGCAATTTATTTTGTTCCAGTCAGTGGAATCGAAATAAACCTACTTGTTAGGCTTGGTCGAACCATCGGTGACTCTTGAGTGGACTGGGTAATCAAAGAAGCTGAATATGTCGGATTGGTGAGCTCTGATATAATGGGAACTTCAAACTTATCATGTGTTCAGTGTGATAGAATTAGGAAACCTCTGAATTGGGCCATCATTGACATAGCGGGCTTATGTTAGGCCAATGTATGAGCTAAATGTTCATGCCTTTCTCCATGGAACATGTTACCATGGATCCTACAGACGTCTTGGGTGTCTTTTATTTGCATCTTTCGGGATCTTTCGATCTTTCTATTTCTGCGGGGATGTACTAATTGTTCAAGAGACCTGTCAAGCGCGATAGAAAGAGTAATCGAGCCAGCGCTGGGTAGACCAATTGTCAGTCTCACATGTCCCAATCACTGCTGCCGAAGTTATGCTTCACAAATGCTACAGAACTGGTTAGCAAACTGATATGCGTAATACTGTCCATAGCAATCACCACAGGCTTTCCAATTCGACTTATCTTATCAGATAAAATTGGAAAGAAGGATCATCCTGAATTTTAACTAACGGGTTGATGCAGTAATCTTTGGGCCTGATCGATCACAGATCGCACAAGACGGGTTTTGGTAGATGTGGTGTCGGAGGCGGATTACTTTCTGGAAAAGGATGGTGGGGACCATGCAATATGAATGTCTATTGTAGAGCAGTAGAATGTCAGGAAAAGGCAATAAAAAGCAGATATCATGAAAGCAGAGACCGAAGACCGAGTCTGAAACTTCATCAACTAACTATAACAGTGACACGGTGTAATCCCAGAAAAGCTTCCCTCGGAAAGAAGCAGGTGAGTGAAAGTCGAAATGAAAATCAAAGTAAAAACAACTTACATGAGGGAATACTCTTCAAAAGCGGTGTTGACGCGATTTTTGTCTTGCTCTCAATCGTACCTGAATAACTGGTACAAAATGGTCAACAATGATCGCAGCGAGGAATCGGCCAAAGTTTCTATTCCGATGGCTGAGCCCAACAGATCTGGATAGTAACGGCTTTTTCAGTTTCGTGTGTGCAGACGTAATGGATGTAGTCCCCACGGACTTGGAAGTTTCGTAATCTTCATATACATCCTTAGTGGATTGAGCAAATAGGTTCCAACGATGTACTGCAGAATCTCAATATTTTGTGAAAAACCGCCTTCACCCTTGGGAAGAAATACTCTTCCTGCTCATATATGGAGAAAAATTGCGCTCTGCCAAATATCTACTGGTAGGTGACTTAGGTGGAAGTAGAGTTGGTATCGAGTAGCGCGGTTGTCACTTAGGAAGTAAGACAATTGATATACGATGCCTTCATTGAGCCTTGTGAAGAGCGTTGTAAGTCCCAAACGGCAGAATTTGACGCCTTCACAGGACCATCCGCCTCTTAACGGACCTAATGTCATCTCACCTGGGTCGTTGTTAGTTGTTCATCATCGTTTGTTTGTTCATCGTGGGATATTCCTCCAACTGTATGACTTGAAGAAATACCAGATTTATGTCGATTTTTGGGAAAAAAAGTCAAGAGGGAGTCAAGTTTTCTTCAGAGTATTTATTTAGTGGATGACTGCCAGATCGCAGTCCCGACTTCGCTTTTTGATGGAAAACTAGGAAATAGGTTTATTCATCGCCGTAGAAAGAAGAGCTCTTTCAGACAATGCCTTATCATTCGAATGAAGTTGAAAACGTAGTGAATTTGTAAAAAATACCGCTTACTTGGTTCGATTTCCTGCGACAGGCTCAATTTCTTCTCCTTGCTGTCTATCTTAGCAGATTCCCGTGAAGGGATTGATTGTGCCTCGTTCTTGTCCATCTCAGCAGATTCTTTTGACAGTCGTCGTTTCCCCTCCTTTTCTGTTTCGGTGGATCCTTTTGAAGGAGTTGTTGATTGCTCCTTTTTAGCTATCTCAGCAGATTCCTTTGAGAGTGACAGTATCTTCTTTTTCTTTTCTCTCTTAGCGGATTCCCTGGAATCCCTCGAGATAGAAGGAGTTACTGATTGCTCCTTTTTGGCTGCTTTAGCCGATTTCTTTGAGAGTGACATTTTCTTTCCTTTCTTTTGCTTTTTGGGAGACTCCCTGGAATCCCTTGAAGTAGTTGTTGATTGCTCCTTCTTAGCCACCTCAGCAGACTCCTTTGAAAGAAACGGTTTCTTCTCCTTCTTTTCTCTTTTGGCAGATTCTCTGGAATCCCTCGAAGCAGTTGTTGATTGCTTCTTTTTAGCTACTTCAGCAGATTCTTTTGACAGCGACGGTTTCCGCTCTCTCTTGTCTATCTCAGCAGAATCTTTGAGTCGACGTGGTTTCCTCTCCTTTCTATCTTTTTCAGCCGATTCACGTGATCCCCTCGATTTCTTCTCCTTTTTGTCTGTTTCGGCGGATTCTTCTGAAAAAATGTACTGTTTTGCGAATAAACTCCATTCTGGGGATGCACCTCGGACCTTCTAGACCGCTGAAGGTGTAACTTTCGAGGACTATTATTGCGTGATGGCCCTGACAGAAGTGATGCACTGTAGAGTTAGAAGGCAGCGTTTGAGAGTAGTTGTTTTGAACTCATCTACGCCTTTTGATAGAGCTTATTATGTATCAGGGGAAGGTGTGACCTGACCGTGACCGTTGGCACATGATGGGCATGTTGTAAGGTGCAAAGTAGGCTATTTCCGTTATCAGTTCGAGTCCGGTACAGTCATTACAGTCGCTTCCGGAAAAGCATCTTGCATCGTTATCAATTGGCTATGAAGATTGATAGGGATCCTCTGATTCTGATTTAGGGGGAGGGTGGTGTAGTCGAAGCGGAATACGCTCGACCACCGCGCATTCTTAATTCAATGATAGAGGGTGAAGGCCACGTGATAATGTCGCGGTCGATACGCTAAATTTTGAATCTGATCATGGAGATAAACCGAACTTCATTCTCTTTGAATGATGATAACTCAGGTAATGACTCAATCACTGCTCTCCCTTAGCAGCGATCACCACAAAGCAGAGAAGAAATGGAAGCTCACTTAAGTTAAGCTCAGAGAAGGTTCGTAGCCAAGGGATTATAGCTTTCAACTAAGCCTCAGAAGGGGAGGAGCACCTACGTGAGAGAGATGTACCCCGGTGCTTCTTCTTTCCTAGGGCCTACTTGGACAAAGCTATATTTTCTCGTATAGAAAACGTTCCTAAATATCAATGCAGGCTCGCCAAGTCGTCTGCCCTTCCTTCTTTGCGCTCTAGCGAGGAATGTTAAAGAAGAGCGCCGTTCCACTCCCTACCTCCCTCCCCGAAGATGTTCACCGAAATTGGTCCAATAAACCAATGAGAAGTGGTAGTTAGGTATGATTTTTTTCCGGAATTACAACAGCAATCACAGAGGAGGCACTCACTGGGACCGAAGACCTTCGAAAGACGACTCTTCTTGTCTCTCTTGTTTTTGTCAACAGTCTTTTCTGAAAATTGTGAGGTCAGTGCGTGAATATTCAACCCCTTTTTAACCGAACTATGGGAAACAGAAAATAGTCAGATCTGGTCGTGTGCACCAGTCCCACTTGCGCGCCTGTATGTCGCCTTTTCACGTCTTTTACCCGCACTCCCTTACTGTAGTAAATATCACCGTAGACCCATCGGAACCCCTGCTTATTCAGTAGTTAACAGTAGAATACATAAACAACCGACTTCCATTCGGAATCGTGGTGGTGTATTGAATGCGTATGTGGCCTAGGCAATGAGTTGCGGTAGTCAGCCAATGTACAAGTCAATGTATTTTCTTCCCAGTCTGGTACCCAATAACTGACTTCGAAGGGATGAAAGGCTACGCTGGCCGAACGTTTAGCCGGGATTCGACATCACCATGTGGGTGGTGCATCATTTGCCGCTACATAACCTACCCCACTTCCGCAAAGAATTCATTTCTTGTTACCTATCCCTTCGTATAAAATAATCCGATCCTTCACCTGATCTTGGATGTTCCTAAAGAGTTTCTAGGTTCCCTTGAATGAGTAAATTAGACGAAAAGTCTAAAGTAAGGGTGTAAGATCCACTTGCTTGATACTAATCCCTGCAAAAGTCGTGGTATCTTCTCTTTTTTGCCGGTTTCGACAGAATCCTTCGGACGACGCGGTTTCTTGTCTGTTTTGATTTTCTCGGCAGATTCTTTCGAGTCAAGCGATTTCTTTTCCTTTTTGTCTTTCTCAGCGGATTCACGGGAGCCACGTGTTTTCGTGTCTTTATTATCTGCCTCAGCAGATTCCTCTGGAAATTTTCGTAGTTTTATCGACATCAAAATCAATTCTAAACTACTCTTACTCGACAAGGACTCCTGTGAAGCACGTGATTTCTTCTCTTTTTCATCTGACTCGGCAGATTCTCCTGAAGATTCTGAGAATGTCAAAGAAACCTTTTGCAAAAAGGGTTTCGATGCCACGAAAAAAAATTTTTAATCACTTAAGTGCTACAGATGATGAAGGTGCTGGTCTGTTTCTATCTAGGGTAGAGCTCAAAATTTTCAAAAATGTTAGATTTTCTCGAAAACCGCAGTACATATCGTTGAGACTGAAGTTTAAGTTAAAGACTTTCGTGTCAAAAAGTTTTTCTCTGCAGCAACGTTGCATCAAATTCCTGCGGAAACTCCAAATAATCAAGTTTTTACTGTGATTCACACAAAAACTGGTTCCCGAATCAACGAGGTCCCTACCAGGTAGTGTTAGAATGTCAACGCGGGAGATTACCGTATTTATTAGTGTATTTCTTCAATTAGTAACTGATAATGTCCGAAAACATTTTTCGTTCAGCAAACTGAATTTTTTCGGATGTTCTCCAGGCGAGGACTCTGGTCAAGTGGGTATCGTGGATCTGGGGACAATCTGAGAAATTGCACTAACAAGGAAGGGCTTTCAGGGCGTGGGACGCTTTTTGAAAATGGTTTTTTGCATGGTATAGGGGCATGAGCACTGAGTATAAATCTATGGTCCATTTCCGCTAAATGGCCTTCTGAATGCCAAAAAAGGAGTGAAAAAGATTCTGCCAGAAATTGCCGCTCTAACCCACTAAGCGTCGTTCGTTTCAGTCATGGCGTCGACTGTCCGCACAGTAGAAGGGGCCAGTGGAGGCGACAATGAAAATAATGTGAATGGTAGCCAAAAAGGGGACCCACATGTTGAAAAGTGCGGAGAAGTTTCATATAGGATCTCCACGGTAGAGCTGCCAGAGGCGACGGATGGTGTGCTGGATAGCGATGTTGACTTCGAGGACCGGCGACCAGAATGGGTTGGTGGTTCGGATCCGCGAGGCTTTGCCGTTTTTGCACTTTATGCTGCCACCTCCAGATTGGCTCCATATTGCACAAGGGCAAAAGCAAGTGCCTGAC